AGAAGAAGAAGAAGAAGAAGAAGAAGAAGAAGAAGAAGAAGAAGAAGAAGAAGAAGAAGAAGAAGAAGAAGAAGAAGAAGAAGAAGAAGAAGAAGACATGGGGCGGAGTCGGGACGACATGCAAACCACTGCAATGGCCGCCGCGGGGTGTTCACCATAAATAATGGATTACGCATTACGCTCTTGTGTCCTCGACGTGTTCGGGCAGAGTGTATCTCTCGCAATCAGGGGCGGCTCTGTCTCGATTTGCTGAATTAATCGACAAATAATTACCGGGGCCAACACATTCTGCCCATAAGCCGGCCCGTCATCCGTCATCGAAAAACACTTTCCTCTGTGCTTGTTCTCGGCGAGCCGGAACCCAGGATTGAGGGGACGCTGGGTAAATAACAGCCGACAACATCATTTTGTACAACATACATGTAGTTTGCATGCGTGCGTGCGCGCGGTGCGTGTGTGTGTGTGTGTGTGTGTGTGTGTGTGTGTGTGTGTGTGTGTGTGTGTGTGTGTGTGTGTGTGTATATGTGTGTGTGTCTTGGTTGCAGAGAGAGAGAGAGAGAGAGACAGTGAGAAAGAAATGATTAGCATGCACAATAGATCTGATTCCAATATTTTCCTGCTATAAGAGACAAAATTGGATGCACACATTGCACAAAGACACAAACCTATTCATTTTTTGACATCTCAAATTACAAAAACAGATACTACATACATTGTTCAAACAAATAAATCTATTCATATTCACATCATAGTATAGATTGTAAAACGCACAGAGCTTGCTGTTGAGCGGGGACTTGAGCTATACAAATTCTATCTATTATTATTATCTTAAATTAAACAAGAAGAACACCTCTCAGTCTGGGCGTGTTGTCCACCCAATCGCCTATGATCGGCCCCAGAAGTAGGACACTCATGCCCATGGTCAGTCCGAACACAGCGGTCAACTGAAGGGAGTCAGGTGTGATGATCACCAAGAAAAGGCCCACAGCAAACGTCCACATCCGATCTCCCTGAAATGATATTATTTTATTGGTCTTACGAGATCGTTATTATTTTTTTTGTAATTTGCAATAGTATAATTCTTTTCTTTCTTTTTCTGGGGGGGAGGGGGGGGGGTTGGAGGGAGGAGTAAGTAAATGTTAATATAACATTACACTTCGTTGAGTGTGAATCTGGCTCGAATCTCCTGCAGAGTATTTTTTAAATTACGTTATCAGAGGAGTTTTCTTAGCTCTCCGTGAACCTGTATTGATTTTTTTTTCACTTACAAAATGATATCGGAAGACTCTAATGTAATTAAAAAGTAACACTACTCCTGGAATGCTTGAATTATGTCGTCATACAAAGGACATGACTCAATGACTCAATCATCTCAAAGTGAAATTAACTGGCTGGTTAAGGAAGCAACTGTTCAGTTGTACGAGCTTTCTGTCCTGAGTGTGTTTGAGAGTGATAGAGATTGACAGAGAGAGAGCTAGAGAGAGAGAGGGAAAGG